GGGCAGGCCGCCGGGGCAGCGGGCGACTTCCCTCAACTCGCGGCCGCTCCCGGCCACCAGCGGGCCGCCGTGCCCTTCAGGCGCCTGCGGCGGCCACCAGGAAGGGAGGGCGGGCGCGCGGGAGGCAGCCCGGAGGAGGAGGAGGGGCGACAGGGATGTTCCCGCAGGACTGGGGACACCAGGGCGGGGAAGGGACGGGACTTGAACCTCTCCCTGACCCGCCTCCGAGCTCGGTCCCTCCCCTCCTCCTGTCCTAGCAGCTCTGCTCCCGTGCTGGACTGAGCCGTGCAAGTTGTCCCCTTCCCTCATCCTCCGGGCGGATTGGGGTGTCCTGAGTTGTCGCGGCTGGCTATGTATGTCAGGAGCGTGGCCGTGCCATGCTGCCGGGAACCGTCCCCCGAGAGCACAGCGGGGCGGCCTCCTCGCCCTCCCTTGGCTCCCAGAAAACCGGGAAGGAGGAAAATCAAACTTTATCCCTGTCTCTGAGTCCCCTGCATGTGTGTGCTGGGGAAACCAGCTTCCTCGAGATGGATGCTGCATTGCTTCAGGAGGCAAGCTCCAGCTCGGGTTCTTAAAGGTCCTCGGTGGTGGTGGTCCCTTCGGAGGGCTGGCTTATAAGCTTCACGTGTCCCTGAAGAGGGAGGGTGGGCAGCATGCAGACACCCAAGAAGTGAATCTGGCAAGTTGTTCACCGAGGTAGAGATGGGGTTGGTTGTATTAACCAGTTACTGCTGGGTTTCATTGCCTGGCAAAGAAAAGGAGTTTCTATTTGAACAGCCTTGGGGTGTGTGTGTGTGTGTAAAGGAGAGAAACATGTTTATTTTTCAATAGCAAGGGATAGCTTGGTATGGAGTTTTTCAGTTTAACAAGTCAGCAGGTTCCCTTCTTTTGGACTTTTGAGACCCATATATGTTGGTCCCTGGCCAGCTCTGGAAGAACAAGTATATGCTTTGTATGTCCTAGGATGAAGTTGTGTGGTGGGGTCATGGTAGGATCACTGCAGGCAGCCTTGTAAGAGAGGTGCCTTCAGCCCTTGTACCATGACCTGTCTTGTTCTGATCACAGAGCTCTCAAGAGGAAACAACTGGAGATTTGCAGAGGATACCAGAGATGCTGGAGACCTAGGATAGTACAAAATTGTGGGAAAGAACCGAAGCCCTGAGAATGGGAGATAGTATTGCTATTATTAGTCATAGTTAGGGGCCCCATCCTCCTCCTTGTGAGAGAATGGTACTTTTTCCTATTTGGCATACTGACATATTGCTTTTCCTATTTGGCATACTGACATATTGCTTTTGGGTGAGAGCCGAGTTTTTCTATAGTTCAGTTTGGATTTGCATGTTTCATAGCCTCCAGTTATATGTTTTGCTCTCTGAAAGAAAGGCCACCCCCAAATCTGACTGCATTCCTTTCTCTTCTGAACTATTGAAAGACTTCTCAAGTTATCTCTGTCTCTGATGAGACATCTACTGATTTTGCAGTTTGTTTTTAAATACTGTTTGGGTGTGGTATCCATAGCGTGTTTAAAAAATGTGTTTCCCACTATGCAAATCTATCAGTTTGTGAGTGTCTTCCTGGTGCGGGGAGCTGGGGCTATTTCATGAATGTGTTCTTCTGTGCTATTCTGGGGTGGGTAAAAGTAATGTGCTGAATTTGTAGCTGAAAGTACAATTAAAATCGAATTGTTGTTTTTGAAGGGCAGAAGTGTTATCATGGGAATGATGACTTGTAAGTGAACTTAGAATTCTAAGGTTTGAAAAGAGGTGAACCTGGTTATTTCAATCGATAGAAACAGATTTTAAAATGTTTTTCTCCCATTGCTCTGAAGTCATCATGTAATAGATGTCTCCATCTGATTACACTTACACTATGATTCCTCCCAAGACATTCCACTTGAAAGATTATCTCTTAGGAATTTAACTGTTGATATTTCAAGCCTGAAGTTGAGGCTAGAAAGGGGAGAGACTTGGCCAAGCTTACACAGCTGATAAGAGTCCTACCCAGGTATTATGACTCCCCTCTTGTGTTCTTTTTATTGCATAATAAACTACTGTTGTAGTTGTTCCCTTTACATCCCTCTGTTCCCTTATACAATTAACTAATTGTCTGCCAGGAGGCTGTTTGTATTTCAAAGCCACATGAATAAGAATTCTCTAAGTGGGTGTGATTTTAGGCACATCTGTTGTACGTGAACATGGAACGAACAACTTGACAAAATAATAGCTGTTCCTGCAACATCGCAACTGGAGAGACACTGGGGTTGAATCTTGCCTGGGAGACTTCCTGTGTATGTGCAGCAGATGGCAGTCTGCGTTGGACCTGATCACAAGTCCAACTTGTGCCACTTTTATTCAGCTGTAGTAGATACAGCAAATTAGAGCCAAGGGTCATAGCCAATAATAGTTTCATTTTTATTTTTATTTTTTGCTTGGGTCATTCTTAATTTTTTTGAAATAGTGTCTCACTAGGCATCTGAGGTTGGGTGACCTCCATTTTCCTGCCTCCTGAGTGTTGGGATTATAGGCATGTACCTCCATGCCTAGTTGAGAGTTATGTTTTTGGAAATACGTCCCAGCTAAGTCTAAAGAATGAATCTTAAGCAATGTAGATCTTCAGTAAATTGGTAAATACAATTGCACAACACTAAACCTAACTGTTTACTACTTCCCATTAAAGCGTCTTTCACATCCTGCCCCCTTTTGAAATGGAGTCTCATTGTGTGAATCTTGTTGTGTTGCTGGGGCCGACCTCTAGTTTCAACCCCTTTCACATCTGAGACTACAAAGGTACACCAGTGCATCTGACTTTAAAACAGCTTTACACTGGATAAATAGGAGTAAAGGTGCATGGGTCTTTTTCAGTCTGTTTTGTACTTTGTAGTGTAATCTTTCCCTTCCTGTGTAAAGAGCCTACTAGTGCCCCCCAGCTTGTGACTATAACTAAGACAAATGCCAAGTGTTTGTTGCACGCCTTTCTGTGTGATTAGTGAAGGTAGCTTCTATTTTCAAAGATGATCTTTCAAGGGGAACTGCCTTTCATTGTGGGCTGTGCAATTTTTTTTTGCTAAATCAAACTGTCTTATCTCTGATTATGACAGCCTGAGTGTTGGCATTTCCTAGTGGTCAACGGCTGTTCTGAGTTACTAAATCAAAAGTCTGTCATTATACTGGTACAGTTTGTGGCTCTCTCTCTGTACATATTACAATTCCTTGGCAGTGGTACTGTTTTAGTTTACCTGAGGTAACTGCCTGTCATGTAGCCATACCTGCTTCCTTGGAAAGTCTTGCTGCGTAGCACAGGCTAATCTCAAGCTCCTGTCCAAGCTGTCTTGAACTTCTAGTGATGGCCCTGTGTGGGAATATAGGCCTATGTTACAATGCTTGGCTCAGCCCTAATTCTCTGCATTTCTCCTAGTCTGAGACTGTTTTTCCTTTGCTAGATCCCAGCACAAAAATGCTACTGTACTCAAGCCGGCTTCAGCGCTGTCCCCAAGTGTCCCATGCATTTATACTGCCATGCAGTTTTTGTACCTAAATTTCAGCCTTAGTCACTTCTAGTCATTCCTCTAATATCTAAGGTCACTCCAGGGTAGAGACTGACATACAATTCCTTTTGAATCCAACACCCTCACTTCATAGATCCAATGGAAACAGAGAAGTGACTTACTGTATTTGTGTTAATAATAGGCCAGGGATTGAAATTCCTTTAAATGGAAATGGGTTCAAGAAGTCCTAGTTTAGGGGCTAGAGACTGTTTCAGCAGTTAAGAGCAGTGGCTGCTCTTGCAGAGGACCGAGGTTTGATTCCCAGCACCCACATGATGGCTAACAACCATCCGTAACTCCAGTTCCAGAGGATCTGATGCCCTCTTCTGACCTCTGCGGGCATCGCATGACATGGGTGCATTTATATACATGAAGCAATACACTCATACACATAAAAATAATAAACAAAATCTTAAAAAAAAAGAAGTCCTAGTTTAAATCTTAACTCTGGTGATCTCTGCTTCTTAATTCCTTTCTCTTTTCGCCTCTGAATTCTGATAGGATTTATTATCTTCAGGACACAGATTGACACTGCTGTGCCATGCACTCTAAGTGTTTCATTTGTGAACACTTTATCTTACTGGGGAGATAAGGTCAAGATGTGTATCTTACCACCCTTCCTGCTTGGCTTTTTTAGCCTGTTGCCTAGGAAGCCAAACTTGAGTAATTGCTTTAAGCTTGGTATTGCCAGTGCTATATTTGACTGTATATTACATTTCTTTATGGTGGATTGATGGGAAGATTGGTACCATTGGATTCACTCTGTAGTAGTTAGCCAGCAAAAGCTCATAGCCAGCAAAAATATGAGTTCCCAAATTAATAGAAATGTATGCGTGAATCAGATTCCAAATTTGTTGTTTCATTCTACTGTAGTATTAAGATTTCAAGGGTCCTGGATAAACACACTTATTTTGTTTCTGAGGAGGTAGACATCCTTTTATTCATCTTAAAATTTTACTTATTTTGATGTTCATAGGGTATTTGAGTGAATGAACTTGGATTTAGTCAACAAATTCTGATTATTTGATCTTAAGGCTTTATTTTATGTTCTATGGACACTTTAAGAAGAAATCCGAATAGAAAATGCAGCATCAAGAATGATGTAGTCAAAAACAATAAATTGACAATCAAACTTTTTGTTTGTTTGTTTGGGCTCTGCCTTGGCCTTGTGTTAGGTCTTCTGCAGTCTGATGCCGTGATGTGAATGACCACTGGGATGGGATGCT